CAGGACAACCTTAAATCATGAAGAGTCACCAGGGTTGGAGGAGACCTAGAGATTGTCAACCCCAACCGTTCATCAGTGGTACTTCAGATGAACTCAAAGCCTCATCAGAAAACTTCCTTCAGGATCCAGGACAACCTTAAATCATGAAGAGTCACCAGGGCTGGAGGAGACTTAAGAGATCATCACCACCAACCATTCATCAGTGGTATTTCAGATGAACCCAAAGTCTCATTAAAAAGTTTCCTTCATCATCCAAGACAACCTTAAATCATGAAGAGTCACCAGGGCTGAAGAAGACTTAGAGATCATCAACACCAATCATTCATCAGTGGTATTTCAGATGAACCCAAAGTTTCAACAAAAAAGTTTCCTTCATCATCTAGGACAACCTTTATCATTCAGGACAACCTTAAATCATGAAGAGTCACCAGGGTTGGAGGAGACCTAGAGAATGTCAACCCCAACCATTCATCGGTGGTAATTCAGACGACCCCAAAGTTTCAACAAAATAGTTTCCTTCATCATTCAGGACAACCTTAAATCATGAAGAGTCACCAGGGTTGGAGGAGACCTAGAGATTGTCAACCCCAACCGTTCATCTAGTACTTTGCAACACATTCCTTAAGACTTGATTTCACATGAAGAACATTCCAAGGACTTTCTTGGGATAAGCCATAATAGAAATGATGTTTTAAAAGCAAAACATGTTATCGATAACACGTGAACTAAAGCAGAGTCATGAGGGTTTGGATTCCTCCCTAAGCCTGAACTGACCAGAACCCAAATCCTCAGCCCCACTGTGGTGGCTTTTGGTCACCCACCAGCACCTCAAACTGGGGGTTCAGCATCAGGGCTGATGGGAATAGCTTGCCCAGGGAGGAGGTGGAATCACCATCCCTGGAGGTGGAAAAGAGGTGTCTGGATGTGGCACTGGGTGACAGATACCACAGAATACTCAGAGTTGGGACTCATGAGGATCAGCCAAGTCCAACTTGTGTCCTGCAGACGACACCCCAACAATCCACTATGTTCTTGAGAGTGTTGGCCAAACACTCCTTGAGCTCTGTCAGTTTGGGGCTGTGCCCACTGCCCTGGGAGCTGTTCCAGTGCCCAAACACCTCTGGGCCAAGAACCTTCTCCTAACATCCAACCTAAACCTCCCCTGACACAGCTCCAGTCATTCCCCCTGGTCCTATCACTGGTTGTCAAAGAGAAGAGGTCAGTGCTGTCCCTCCACCTCAGGAGGAAGTTCTACACATTGACAAGGTCTCCACTCACACTCAGCAGTTTAGGGATGACAGTGGTAGTAGTAGTTGGACTTGATGATCTTAAAGGTCTCTTCCAACCTTGATGACTCTATGATTCCACGATTCCTTCCTGATTTTTCAACAGAGCAGCAGCAATCCCCTGGACTACAGAACCAAGCCAGCATCTCCTCTCCCAGCAGGAACACAGCAGTGGGCATCAAACCTCCAAAATATTCCCTATTTTCTCCACCAATTTAAGTAGCGTTGAAGGGAGTTTTTTCCCCTAACTTACCTGCCCGACTGGTTTTGGCACCTGTAGAGACTGGTGAGGAGCTGTTACTGGTGTCCCCAGCCAGGGAGGTCCTGCTGGAGTGGAAGGTAGGTCGTTTCAGCTTGCTGCCTGCAGATGGGGTCACCTTGGGAGGAAACACACACAGGACATCTTTTAGCTGTCACCTGGGCAGTGACAGGCCAAGATCACATCTGAGGTCAGTTCCTTGGCAAAATGATTGTGGCTTTTAAGGAACACCCATCTTAAAGGTCAAGGAGGACACAAGCTGCCGTTTCAGCAGTGGGGAATGCAAAGGGAAGAGAAATCCTGAAAATTTGGAGGGGGATGGAAGTTGGTGCACTGCAAGCTGATGCACCCAAAAAAAAAAAATCCAAGCAAAGCTGTTATCCATCTGGAGGAGACACAGCATCAGCTGGGCTGAAGAGCTCCACAAAGGGAATGTCAAACTGTTAAAAATAGGGATCTAAGTAGCTCAGGAGCATTTTGGAAGGTCAATTTTGGAAGTGGTGCCTTGAGAATTGCATCCTGTTGTGAGGAGCATCAGTGCAGATTTAGAGAGGTGGAGGGACATTGTCCTGGCACCAGTGTCCACACTCCCAGCACTTAAGGGCAGCCAAATTGGAAGAGTGATGGATAGGGACACAAAACACATCCAATCAGCTCTGGTGGCATCCTGAAATGGAGCTTTTCCCGACCTTTAAGATGTTGTAAGAGCAACTGGTGTGGGGGGTGAAGCAGCACAACAGGCAGCTCTGCTCCCACCGCTGAGGGGGAAGCAAAGGGGAAGGTGCCAGCAGGGTGAGGGCACCTGGATCCAGCTGGAAAAGGCAGCTCCAGTTTCCATTCACCACCCAAAGCTCTGGGGTTGGCTGCAGGAAAGTGATGTGTGCAGTATTCCCTGTCCCCAGTGGGACACAGGGATGGCTCATCCCTGGGTAGATGGATGTGGATCATTGCCCATGGAGTTTTAAAAGCTGGAGAGGTTTCCCTCCATCTCCTACAATTCTGTGGGTTTTTTTTTTTTTTTTAAACTCAGAACCGTTGGAGTGTGATGAAACTGGAGCTGCAGAGGGGAGAGAGAGAGAGAGGTGCAGCTGAGGGAATTAAAATCCATTAACACGTGATTGCCGAGGTACCATTGTCTGAGATTTCAATTCTCCTCCTTGCTCCTGCAAATTTAGGGCAATCTGTGAAGTGCTCCTGACCTTCTGATGAGCTAAATTAATTCCTTTACCACCGCTGAGCAAGACACAGTTACCCTGTCAGCACAGGGAACCCCTCCCAGATCTACCCAGTGCTTCTCACCACCCGCTCACAAAGGCAGGAAAATCCACCAGGAAGCTGAAAACTTTAGGGAAATAAGTCTCAGCCCAAATTCCTCCTGCTGGGAGCATCAAGGTGGTGACAGGGCTGGACACACCAGACGTGCTTCGACATGGTGCTGAACACAAGCTCCATCAAACTGAGGCGTGTGGTTACGGTTCATGCGCTGTAGCTGATTTTCAAGTCTCAACTCGGCTGTTGGGTTTCAATTTTGGGAAGCCAAACACAGTCCCTTTTCAATAGGAAAGCTATTCAAGCTTGGAAAATGACCATCCTCTTGAAAACACAAGAGGTTTGACATCACTCTCTTGGTTTGGAGGTGAATTAGAAGTGTTGTGCTTGATATCAAAGTTGGTGTTTTCTTGAAACCCGAGTTGGAAAGCCATGAAAAACGCCAACAGTCGGAGCGTTAGCGGTGCTAAAAGCTCTGCTCTACCACGAGGAAAGCGTTAAAAACAGGCAGGGGAGTGGGATGACTCCGTGCCAGAGGCACTTTTGGCCTGTCAGCAGATCCTCAGAGTTGCCAGACCATACTCTACCTCGGCGCTCGGGAGCTGGAGGTCGGAACTATCGAGTCCCCTCACGGGGGTTCCTGCTTTACTGTTTATCAACCAGGGTTTGTCATAACATCGAGAGAAGTGATGTGGAGTCTGTGAAATGGAAAATCCAAGGAAGGGGAGGAGAGGTGGAATGAGTGGAAAAAAAATAAAAGAGAAATGGAAAAGTATCTGGAATGGGGGTAGGGGGAAGGAAAAAGGCACTAAAACGGAATGAAAACCAAACAGGAAATATATAAATTAAAATATAGGGAATAAACCCAAAAGGTGATGAAATGAAACATGCATGGATGTGGTGGGGAGGGAGAGGTGATGGGTGATGGGTTCTTCCTGATATCACAGCCCTGTCTCAGGGACCAGGAGCCTTCAGCTGCACAGTCAGTGCCGAGGACCCTCCTGTGGGTCCAAGGGTATCCAAATTCGGGCTGGAAAATTGTCTTGCACCATCCCACCCCCCATCCCACATGGACAGATTGATCCTCCTGCAGACACTGTCAACAGCTGGAGATCACAGCACCACCAAGCCCCCAAGTCCCAACCTTCCTCCTCCTCCTCCATGCAGCTCCTCCTGTCGCCGCGATGGGTCGGAGATTGGTGCCTACGAAAGGGAAGAGGAAGGTTTCAGGTGTGAACCCACCTTGGCCCCACTGGCTGGAGTGGCAGGAGAGGATGGCATGGAGGCGCAGCTGTGGTTGCTCTGGCTAGCACTGGAACTGGATCTTGTTGGGGATGCTGCCCTGGAGGATGGTTTTGACCTTCGGCCTCGTGATCGGAATGGGGTCATCCCCTGGGAAGCTCCTTCCGGCAAGATGAACTTCTCTCGGAGTTCAAGGTTGGTCCGTCCTCGTGCTGGAAGAGAAGAAAGGAGATAAGAACTGAGGTCTGGAGGAAGCCAACATGGTTACTGGGACCCAGGAGGCTCCAGGGCTGGGAGCAGCACCCAAGCCCAACTCCGAGAGCGAGCGGACGGCAGCGAGACCATCCCACCTCTCTTCCTCTGCCTCAACCTCCTCCTGCCATGGATCAGCCCTTTGAGAAATTGGCTGATTTCAAGGTGCCTGAGAGCCAGGAATCCACATTCACATTATGTGAATAACATTCACATAATTCTCTATTAATCTCTTGTGGAAGAGCATCCTGATGGCCTTCAAACCCACCATGTTGAACCAGCAGCCAGTGTCACCTTAACATGGCTTAAAAACAGCAAAAGCAGCTTTGAAGGGTTATGATTCTTGAGGTTCTGCGAGAGGTTCTGCTCTCTCACAGCTCTGAGCAGCTCTCCACCCATTTTTGAGGAAAGACAAGGGAAAAGTGACCACCAGCCATTAAAAGCCAACTGTGAAATTTTCATCCAAACACCTCAAAGAGCTGGAGGGTCGACAAGCAAGGGGCAACCAAGCAGGGAGAAGGTCTGTGGGCTTCAGCTCCTGGGCCAGCTGATATGTGCCAACACATTTCATGCTTGTGGTGTTCAGACATGCACTGAGCCTTACGGGACACAGGAGGAATTCTAGAGCCGACGGATTACGGATCAGAAAGCCAAGAAAGCAATGGCAGAAGGGAAGCACCACGCTGAGATAAGCAAGGGATAGAAAGAACCTCGAGGTCAGCAGCATGAAGGAGGAGGAGCAGGATGGAGGAGCAGGAAAACCCTGAGGGCTCCCCGAAGCAAGAGGCACACGCTGCAAATCATGCTGCTTTCAGCAACAGCCGTCGCACAGCCGGAGCACGGAGCACAGCAGCTTGAAGAAGACATACCCAAAGCAATTAACATCTCAGAGACCTCAGTGAGACAGGGACATATGGAGCACAGGCCTAAGCTCCTCAAAACACACAGCCTTGGTGCGCTCTGTTCCTGGCCAGCCCCTTGCTAATAATCTGTCTCTGGCCCCTGCCCACAGCTCTCGGTGTTTCATCCAACCATAAAACCTCAAGACTGAAGGTTCTGGATAATCCATGACAGAGGGGACCCCAGTTCTCCATGCCCACAATATGCAGTAACCCTGGTCTGTGTTATCCCAACCATCCCTTCCAAAAATGTTCACCAAACCAGCTCCAACAAACACTGCTCATCCCTAAAAACCCCAAGATTGAGTTGGTTCTTCCCTTCTAATGTGCTGTTGTGTCTTCCTTAAGCTCAGGTCGTTCAGGAGCTGCTTACACTTCAATTTTACTCAATTAATGCTGAACTGAAACATCTTCTGTGCTTCAACTGGGACACACTTGTGCGTGGTGACACTTAACAACACACAAAGCAGGACATGGTTCTCAGAATCTCCCCAAAATCCAACAAAACCCTGAACAGCTCCATGGATAATGCTGCTTAAATGCAGCCACTTTTACAACTCAAATCTGGCTCATGGCAGTTAAAAAAAAAAAGAAGAGGCACATTTCCATCTTCAAAGGCAAAACTGGGTCAAGACAGGTCATTTCAAGGCACTAGAAGAAGACCCACAGTCCTGCCCAGCTCAGGGTTTCCAAATTAATTCTTTATGGTGCTGCTCTAAAGACAACAAATGAACTGAGAAATATGAACTAGAAATTCATCAGGGAAGTTCAAGGTCACAGGAGAAATGTCTCCTTAGTCACCAGCATGAGCCTGGACTGTCAGTGCCCTGTGGCCACAGCAGGTTCATGGATCCTGGGCTGGAGCATCTTCTCCCCAGTGTCTCAGACTGGGATTTTACCATTTCCCTGGCTTTGAACCTTTGGAATTCTTTCAGGTCACCCTTCCAAAGCTTCCCCCATCACCCCCAGAGTCAGAGCTGTGCACTGACTGCTCCTGAGGGACACTGAGCCCCTCAGCATGACACTGCAGCTCCACTCACCAGAGTCTTAAAAACAAGGAGCACAACCCTTCCTTCCCCCCTCTCCTCCCATGACACTGTGAGATTTACTGCAGCACCACCAAATCTGGTGATTTTTTAAAGTTCCTGGTTTGCTTTGGATTTGTTTTCTCCAGCTCCTGCCCATTTGGAGAACCTAGACCCACTCTGGTCACTCAGTCACAGCAGACACATTTCCAAACTTCCCTCAATGGGTGAGAAGACATAAATTGTAATAATCCCAGGAACTGCCTTACCTCTGCACGGATCATTCTTCACTAAAAACTCATCCAGGGCCATCCATCCTCCCCCGACACGGACCATGACTGTGCTCCGCAGGATACGGACCAGCCGCAGCTGCTGGGAATCTCCAAACTGCAGAGCCAAGGAACAGGTCAGAGAATACAACAACAAGATCACACAGCTCCTTCCCACACCAGGCTGCACCAGAGGTGTCTCCAGACAGGCTCTTCTGGAATAAGTACAGCTTAATGCCAACTGACAGGAGTTTTCCTGGTTTTAAGATGACACAACCACCCAAATCCTTGAATTTTCAAGCTGGAAAGAGTCTTTTTCAGAGCAGCAATTGAGATTTAGAATTTGGGGTTTGGATGGGTTTTTTTTCTCAGCCAGAATTTGTTTTTTCCCTTTTATCATGAAGGAAATAGAGGCTGGCAATTCCATGACTTTCCTGGTGCAGCCCACATGGGAAAGAGCTGGTGGATTCAGCAGGGTGAGCAGCTGAATCACCACTGAGAGAGACACCAATTGTCATCATCAAGCCTGAAATCCAGGGATTTCTCTGAGCCTCAGACTTGAGCCCCCCCCCCCAGCCACAAAGCCCCTGCCACAGGAATCTCCCAGTGAGGATGTTTGGTGAGTGCAGAGTGATGGGAATCCAGGCAGGAATCCCCAGCAATGGTGATTAGTGATTGCGATGTTCATTAGTGATCTGAAACATCTGCCATATCAAACAAGTGCACCCTGAATCCAAAGCATGTGGCTGCTTTGCAAAGCTCCCTAAATCTCCTGGATAGCCAAGCTCAGAATCCTGGATAGGACACCAGGAATCTGGCTTGGATTTGGCAGCTCTGCATCCAGGTCTACAGAGCATCTGTTGGGATGAGAAGACAAGAGAACCAGTGTTTGGAAGCAAGACCCTCTTCAGAAGGAGTAAAAAAAGGGAAAAAAACTCAAACGGGAATATTTTCCATGGAGAAAGCAAGACCCTCTTCAGAAGGAGTAAAAAAAGGGGAAAAAACTCAAACAGGAATATTTTCCATGGGTGGATATGCAAAAAAATAAAGAGATTCAATGGGAACAGAGAGTGCAAAGTGACTGGGATGGGTCACAGCAGGCAGAGGGGCAGGAGGTGCCAGCAACACTGACCCCCAGGGCCGTGGGACCATTGGTGGGCAGGGAGCTCCCCCTCTTCAGAAGGAGTAAAAAAAGGGGAAAAAACTCAAACAGGAATATTTTCCATGGGTGGATATGCAAAAAAATAAAGAGATTCAATGGGAACAGAGAGTGCAAAGTGACTGGGATGGGTCACAGCAGGCAGAGGGGCAGGAGGTGCCAGCAACACTGACCCCCAGGGCCGTGGGACCATTGGTGGGCAGGGAGCTCCTTCCTTGTCTCCAGGCTCTACATGAGGTGTCCTTCCAGAGCCAAACCCAGGGATGAGTCAATTCTCATTTCTGCTGCCACATTTACATTATTTTTCAGCTACTGTTGACAAATATTTCTCTAATCACTGCTTAAATTCCAGCCAGAGCTCTCTTGGAGCCATCCACTTCCAGCATCCAAGTTTCTTTCAGTTTGGGCATCTTTTGGGGCTTCTTTTTGGTAGGGAATTATCATTTCACATGAAAAAGAGAAGCTTTTCTCTTAGAGCAGGGGCAGTGGGGACATCAGAACAGCATGGGATGCTCCAGCCCTGTTAAAAAAGAGGCTCTGCCTCCCAAACCAGCCTGCACTGCTCATCTTGGGTCATGAATGTATGGGGATCATGCAGGTTTTGGGAGCCTTGCTGCAGTGAGGAGTTACTCAGTGGGTGCAGCAGGGATGAGGGTTTAGTTATCATTACCTATGGGATTAAAGGGGTGGACTCAGCACTCTCATTCCATGGTGATTGCAATCCAAACCCACTCAGAGCCTGGTACAGCCTTTGTGCAGGTAGTTTTATACTCCCATGGCACAAATCCATCTGTATCCTAGTATTCCATGATTCATTCCCATCAAGACCTCCAAGAGATCCGAGAAAGGAGCCCAGAGAGAAAAATCTCTCCATTTTTTGGGTCAAATCCTACTTTTCCATTGAATTTTTCCCCTTTTTTTTTTTCAGCCCAATGCCATAATTTTTGGGTGACTCTCCCAGTTTTCAGGCACTGCTCTGTACCAGGCTCTGCTGAGCAGCACTCCCAGATCACATCCTCCCCCAGCACCACAGGACAGAGCAGCAGATGGACACACACAACTACTGTTTGTTAAAAAAAAAAAACCACCCCAGAGGTGAGAGCCCATCACAAGGCAAACTGTACCTGATTGCCGAGGAAGAACTATGGAGGGAGAGGATTTGGAGGGAGAGGGAATGGGGAGGGAGGGAAGGAAAGTCCAGAGGAAGAGGAGGGGAAAAGAAAAACAAGAAAAAAACATTTATGGGATTAACAGTGCAATAATCATGAAAACTGTTAACTGCAGGAGGGAGAAATCTGGGGGGGTTTTCTCTCTGGGGGGGAGGGAGAAGCTTGGGAAGGCTGAGACTGGTACAGCCAAGGGGGAAATGCTGCAGTTTGGCTCCTCCTGGTTGGAGCATCAGCCCCAAAACCCAGAGGGGAGGAAAGTGGGAGCTGTGCCAGCAGCTCGTTTCACCACTTCACCTCGCTGAAGGGTTTGAAACGTAAACAGCAGCTCGTTACAAAGAGATTCTGTAAGGAAATGCTTCTCCCTTCTTGGGGAGAGAGCTAAGAAAAACACAGGCGTAAGGTACACTCATCCAGGAGGGAAACTTCAAGGGCGGCTCCTGCGGAGTGAATGCTGCGTTTCACGGGGCCCCCGGGGCTGGCTGCCCCAGAACAGGGACACTTTTATGTTCTCCCAGTTCAGGGAACGCCCTGGGGCCAAGGATGGAGCTGGGAAAACACGACCCAGCCACCTCCACCGCCGGGAGCCGCGTGCCGAGGTCGCCGTCTCACGAGCCGCGTGCCGAGGTCTCCGTCTCACCCCGCGTCCCCCCGTGCCAGGCTGGGCACCCCCTGAGTGGTCTCCCCTCCCCAGGTGGGAAGGGAGAGCAGGATTGGTGCTTCCAATCCTGCTTCCAATTAGTGCTTCCAATCCTGCTTCCAATTCCTTCCCCAGTGCCTTCTTACCCGGTATTTGTTCTCGCCGATCTGCTCCACTTGGAATCTCTTGGCACACTTGCACTGGGCCACTTGCCTGGTGACCTGCCATCACCAACAAGAGAGGTAAGGCACCAGGAGTTTTGGGAGTTTCCCCCCAATATAAGTCACTTCTTGGATAAAACACAGCCCTGAGCAGATTTTCCTTCAAAAACATGGTAGGTATTTTCAGTTCCAAGCAATTATTTTGGCACAGCACCATCACAATCCTTTTTTAATGGCTTTTTTTGGTCTTCCTCACTGCCAACCTCCAGCCTGGGCCATCCCAACTTCCCTGAACTACCTCCAACCTCCCTGAACTACCCCAACCAACCTGAACCACCCCAACCAACCTGAACCAC